GCGCAAGACTTTCTTTAAACTTTAGCGCAAGACTTTCCTCTGTTAACTTTAGCGCAAGACTTTCTGTTAACTTTAGCGCAAGACTTTCTGTTAACTTCAGTTCTAGACTTCCCGTCAACTTGAGCGAGAGACTTCCGGTCATATTTAGCCTCAACCCCACCCGTATAACCAACTAAACACTTCAGCGGCTTCAGTTTCCGGGGGCTAAACGTTCACTTCCGTGACGTACTGGCCAGACTTTTTTCAAGCCGCCATTCTGTTGCCAGTTTGAGTTTGGTGTGACAAGTGGCACTTGTGATATTTAGGGGGTGTCACGTGTCACGGGATACTGGCGGAGGATCACGACTGGCTCGCACTTCAAGGGCGCCAGAATTATTTTTTTCAAACGTCAATTTCAGCAGAAAATAACTGCAGCTATCCTCTAGGGCAGGGGTCTCCAAACTTTTCAGCCCGAGGGCCGCATTAACTATCAATTATCAGTTCGGGGGCCAGATTTTCTTCAAGGTACGTGGGTCGTGGCGCCCCCTCACACCCCCCCCCCCCCCCCGAAGAACGTCTGCCGCCCCTCCCCCCCCCCCTCCAACAAAATATAATTTATATAGAAATATATACAAATTTTAAGTGTCCCCCCCCCCCCACCCGAGGTCCACGTTTTCTCTCAAATTGTTCTTCACGTATTTCATTCTTGAAAATGTTTCGTTCACGCAGGTATGTTGAACGAAAATTTGAAAGGTACTTTGATGCAAAAGTTGTAATGTCAGGAAAGTCTTCCTTGTGCAAAAACGTATGAAAACCCATATGCCCTTCTTTGGACGTGTCTCTAAGGAAGTCTTTTTCTTGCAATTCAATTACCTCAAGCTGCAGTTCATTTTTTGCAACTGGCCACATTTGCTTCAAATGGGCTTTGAAACAGTCTCACTTCTTCTGCCTTTGAATCCAAATCAGAAAACCGCTACTGAAACTGCAGCTGGAGGTCTTTAATGATCTCGTATGTAAATGACGTGGTGAACTCAGTGGTTGCTTCAGCCGTAAAGACCTCGCACTGCTAAAAGTGTGTCAAGTTGTTAGCCTGTACTTGTTCCAAAAACATGACGTTTGTATCTAAAGGCCTTTAGGTGGGTGTATAGATCAGAAACTAGATTTCACTCTCTTGCCGTTTTAGGTTCAGAAAATTTAAATGACTAGTTATGTCTGCAGCAGAGGCCAATTTCTATACCACTCTTCATCAGACAATAATGGCTGTGGCTTGCCTATACTATCAGGAAGTCATCATCTCTTTTCTTTAATACTACGCTCAGAATTTTCTCGCAAAATTAGCAATCTTACTGATGTGAAATACGGTAAATCTTGCGATTTTGTGTTTGTCTCTGAACTATCTATGGTTAGATATCCTCTCTGGTAACAGTGTCATACATTATATGTAGTGAAGCCAGATCTTGTATTATGTTCAGGTCTTCATCCACACCTCTTATGAACACACGAAGCTGAGAGGTGGAACAGCTGACCAGCGACTCATCCATTGCAATTGAAACATGGCGAAACTTGCTTGAATTTTTCGCTATTTGAGTCGCAATGTTTTAACCAATGTCTGCAACAGGCGAGTAATTGTATTTGCACACAAAGCTACATTTTCAAATAGTTTTGAATTTTCTGTGCAAAGCTCCTCATTCACCCCCAACAAAAATTTATTCAGTGGACAAAAAGATAGCCGCGGGCCGGATAAAATGACCTCGCGGGCCGCATCCGGCCCGCGGGCCGTAGTTTGGAGACCCCTGCTCTAGGGGTTAAGGGGACGGGGGGGGGGGTGAGAGGACTTCTCTAGGATGTTCCGTCTGGGGCTGCGGAACTTCCCGAGGGGGGAAAATTAAATGAAGAATAAAAACTGTTGCTTTCATCAACTGTAATAATATTTTTAAAACCAACTCCATTTTTATTCTTAACAGAAAACCATTCAAGCATATCAAAGAAATCTTTCCAATATAAGAGAAACGCTTTACATTATTTTTCAAAAAAAAAAAATAACTTCCCGTTTTATCATGAAACGAACTGAGAGAAAAAAAAAAAGATAAAAAAATCCAAGTATATTTTAAACCGTCCAAATTAATAAAAAATATATATGGGGCGGTATGATCTAGCGATAGAGAGCTAGACTGCTAACCTGAAAGTCTCGAGTTATAATACGGATTCAAGTCAGCTCTGTTGGGTACCTAACTCACGGCTGAGCATAGTGCTGACCACTCTATCCCTCCACGGCTGAGCATAGTGCTGACCACTCTATCCCTCCACGGCTGAGCATAGTGCTGACCACTCTATCCCTCCACGGCTGAGCATAGTGCTGACCACTCTATCCCTCCACGGCTGAGCATAGTGCTGACCACTCTATCCCTCCATATACTGAGGTCTCTGAAGCAGATGAACTCTACTTTATCTGCCCCATGTGTCTTGGGCATGAACGGGAAAAGTTGATGAAATAAAAATAAATTGTACAGAAAACCTTTCCATATGACAATAGATACGATCCCAGTTTATAAGTAAACCACCAGTTTCCACAGATACGCATCCCAGTGATTAAAAAAAAAACTTTCCAGTCTCAAGAACCCCACCAATGTCTACCTCTGCCCACACCTTCAAGCTTCCATGAACTCTAATATCCCCAGCCCTCGACATTTGCAGATCCCACATAACACACGCCCAAAAAAACTCGCACACATCCAGCCCATTTTTGAAGATAATTTCAACATTTGTATGATTTGTTCCGATCTCTCTTCCCATAACCGCGTGTCAACTTTTTAATCAAACGTTGGTCTCTGCGTCGTTACCGAAATACTCGCTTACTTTACATATATATTGTGTACCCGACCTTAACTCTGGCTGTAAGGGTAATCACTCTCTCCCAAAGTACCGACACCCTTCTATATTTGGTAATCTTGGCTTGAATTGCACGCTAAAAGAGTTCTCCCTCTTTGACGTTTCTTTCCATAGAAAACAAATTTGTGGGACTGGGGCATACACATCGAGATCTTGACACTTTGACTCGAAGAAAATTCTCGAATGAAAGGGGAAAAAAATCATTATTCTCTTAAAAAACGAGCTGTATTTGGACTGGTAGGGGGGGGGGGAGGGAGGCTGGGATTTTCAAATTTGTCGAAATGGATTAAGGCGAGTAAAATTGACCATCAAACGGCAACTCTGCGCAACTAGACAACTCGTTTATTTATCTCACCTGGTTGCCCAGAGGCCGCTTGACCTTTGACTTTTGAACCAGCAGAAATCTTTGATGGATCGGGTGGCATGTCTCCTGCCACTTTATCCGTCCAGCCCTGCCCCGCCCGTACAGCAAACTTGCATTTTTCTCATTTCCCGTACGGTATAAACACGCATTGCTACACCGGCTTCCCGGCTCCAAGCCGGCTGCCGTGTTCCTGGCATATATTGGATCACCGGCTTCCCAGCTGCAAGCTGGCTGCCGTGTTCCTGGCAGATATTGGATCACCGGCTTCCCGGAGAAATTCACTATAAAAAGATAAACAATTATGTACAAAATGAACTGTGTACATTTGGTGCTCAGAAACGACTGATACAAAGTTTGTATTTTGCAAAAGTGCTAAGCGGCAGGCTTACGATCTATTGCGACTGCGCAGCTTAGAGAGAACATTGGTTACCAGTTCCTAGCAGACTGCAGTGTTTCTGAAAGTAGTACATACGTGTGACACGCGACAGTAAAAGTCTTGGGTATTTTTAGAAGGTGATACGTGGTCACTGGTGACACGTCTCTCTTCCCGTGGTGATACTGCTCTCATCAGATGATGAACTGACAACTTTAACACCCCCCCCACACACACACCATCCACATTCCTCACACAAAACTCAACCCTCATTCAACTCTCACACCAACCTCATCCATCACACAACCCCCCCCCCCACACACACACCAACCTCACCCATCACACAACCCCCCACACCAACCCCACTCATAACACAACCCCCCTCCCCCTGTGTGTACTACCAACCCTTACACATACCCCCACACTACCCTATCCGTCCCGCACAGCCTCTACACCATCTCCAACCTCACCCGCAACCTCCACACAATCCCCATCCGTCATACCCAACCCACCCATTTTTTACCCATGACTCCACGCACCGTCCAGCCTCCGAAACTGCAGCTTTGGGAATTCCCAGAATTCATCGGGAGTCCCCGGAACTCCAACCATTTGAACACAGCTCAAAGGAAAAGCTCGACATTGGTGTTGACCCACGTTCGTACATCTTTATCAAATACACATCCACAGTCTGTCTTTTTTCGCAGCTGCAAATTACCCAATTACTGCCTGTCAAACGTGATGCATGCGAGAAAGACTAGTGTAAAAATTATTCATATCGAGTTCATTATATTCTGGTTGCAGATCCGCTTTTAGAACTTCCGAAACTTCTTTTTTAGACATTTACACTGGGACCATAGACAGATTTTTTTTTTAATTTCCTCAACTTTTTTCTTACCTTCTAGCTGTAGTCAGATCAGCGTTGACAACACTCCATCACCTCCACTCCTCCACCATAATTACCACTTCATCTCATCATATCTCTACTTACTACCACAAACATCAAATCTTCATACCCCACTTTCCCAAACAGCAAATCTTCATATCTCAATACCATAGACTTCACATTTTTAAAATCGCAATACCCAAAATATCGCATTTTCATATCATTTCAATACCACAAACGTCATATTTTCATATTTCACTAACCTAAACATCAATCTCCAAATTTCAATATCACAAACATCAAAACTTTATATTTTAATACCACATACATCAAAACTTCATATTTCAATACCACATACATCAAAACTTCATATTTCATTACTACAAACATCAAAACTTTATATTTCAATGAACATCAAATCTCTCAATGTTTTAGTTCAAACCTTGTAATTTGTATATATTTATTTTTTATTTGAAAAAAAAATTAACTCGAAATCTTGACTTCCCTATTAGGTTGATCAACGTGGATCGCATCAGGCTAAGTGAACAGGGATCGAAGCTCCGGATTGCCAACATATCCGGACAAGACAACGGCGTCTACTCGTGCAAGTCCCAGAACACGGCGGGTGTGGTGACTAGTACAGAGAACTTCCTCCTCAATGTCTACGGTGAGTGGCTTGTGGTAGATTTCTGGTATACACGTGGTCAGTTCATTCTGTAGAAAGTCGTTAGTTTTGTTACGGTGTTGTCTTGTCCGTTATGTAAGTAGATTTCTGGTATAAACACTTGGTCAGTTCGTTCTGTAGAAAGTCGTTAGTTTTGTGACTGTGTTGTTGTGTCCGTTATGTTAGTAGATTTCTGGTGTGTCCGTTATGTTAGTATATTTCTGGTATACACTTGGTCAGCTCATTCTGTAGAAAGTTGCTGGTTACATTCCTGGAGTGGGTAATAGACAGGTTTATTATGTTGATACATACTTCTTAGATTCCTACTTTGGGCATTTATTGTGTAGTTTCATTATGTTGGAACTTTTCTTGTTGGATTCCTGTTTTTGGACAATCTTGGATGGGCTAATATTATATTAATGACTTTGAAAATTCTACTATAGATTTAATCCCAGATTAGTAAGCAATTTATTTTTTTCTACGTTCGTCGAAAAGGGAGGGGGAAGGGGGTGGGCAGGTAGGCGAATGTTTTGTGTAAATGTATACCCTAAGTTTCTGCTTAGCTAAGTGCTTTCAACAATTTTACAGAGGAAAAGTCCCCGTTCTATGCCAACACTGTTTGACGTTATTAAAATGTAACAAATGTTATTTAGATTTCACTTGCTCGTACTGCAGATGTAGCAGAGTTGACGAGATTCAACAAAAAAATAAAAAATAGCCCTTTTGAAATTAGTTTGGTGCTTTAAAAAAAAATCCCTTTTTTTGTCAGAATCCTTTTAAACATTTTCACATGGTTCTTATATTTTTTTTATTTTGAAAAAAAAAATTACAAAAAATATACCTGGGGAGGGTGTCATTTGAGAAGCTTACCATTTTTTTAAGCCACAATGTTACGTCTAAACCAATGACGTTTGGGGCTTCTTAACCTATTTGTTCTCTTTCTGTGTGTCAGACTTTTGTCACAACACATATCGGGCCTATCAGAAACATGGGCCAACCAACGGTGATAATCTATATATAAAAATAGACTGTTCAGATGTTACACTTAGCGCGGACCCCGCATAAGTGTGAGTAAAAATATTTGGACAATATTTCGTTTATGGGGAAACAAAAAAAAAAAAGGTTGAACGCTAAGGAATGAAACAGAAAAAAAAGAGAAATACGCGAAAATGCAAAAGTCGTCTTCATTTAATTTTTAGGTTTTTTATATTGTGACGGTTATTCTCCCCCCTTAGATGTCACATGATTAGGCGGGGCAAATCACGAGGGTTGATGGGGAAGGGAAGGGGGAACTTCCGGTAGATTAATTCTCGCTTCTCCGCAACACTTGTGTGTTTCTATGCGCAACTGTTGGCGCAGAAATCGTGAGTAATTTTGGGCCCTACAACCGTCCCCGTGGTTTCGCCATCTTGAAGTGTATTAAAGAAAAAATTCATTGACATAAAAACTTTCTGATGTGGTTTAAAGTTAAAAAAAAAAAAAAATAAGATGGAGAAAATTGATTCCTGATTTTAAAAAAAAAATTTATATATAATAATTTTTCTATTAAAAAAAAATATTTTTTTGCCAACATAAAAAAAACACGATAGGGATCTGTATGCCTCCGGACCGTATGGGGATGTATTCGATCTACGACGCTGTCGATTGCAATCGTTTATTTTATTTCCATAGAATCACTTCAGATATAAAGCCAAAAACTGATCACGATATAATAAAATAATCCAATGACAGTTATAATAAACATTTTAAACAATAAACTACGTCGTAAGAATAATTTTTAAAAATAAGCCCGCGGGTTTGATCTATTTTTAGCCCACGCTGGGACAGTTGAAGATGGCGGCGCTGGAACTTTCTTGCGCATCTCGAGCAGAGGGTGTGTGATTTCGTTACAAAAATAAAACAAAGCTCTACATATTCCTCTCTATCTCTCACCCCTGTCTGTCACATGTCCTTATTTCCTCTCACTCCTAGCCTCCCCCTCACTATCCCGCCTCTCCCCATCTCTGTCCACCTGCAGATTGCTGAAACTTAAGTAGTCATGTCACTACTTGTGACTCTCTGGTTAGCCAACCGTGACGTCCACCACTGGACCAGGGTGGCCCTACTAACTGTTTCGACACAGAGACCCAAAATATTTAAACGGTAGGAAACAATTGACCTCCTAAGTGTATAGATAATGGGGCCCTTCGTTATAGTCCTAATGACTGAGCATATTACGTCCTTTTCTAGAGACTAATATCCTGCTGCCCGTGTTAGATTACATAACACCGGTTTAGTTACAGATGTAATTTTATGTATTCGTGTACTTCTGTTTGAATTTTTAAAATTTAAAAATGTAATTCCGCTTGTACAGAGGTAGAAGAGTTATGCCCGTGTTGTGTTTTTAAAACTTTCCATAGTTGATTTTCCGACCAGCCGGATGTTGAAAAAAGTAGAGCCGAAAGTTTGGTTCCAAAGCCGAGCTCTAGTGCTGTGGTTGAGCTCTAGTGCTGTGGTTGAGTTGTAGTGTTGTGGTTGAGCTATAGTGTTGTGGTTGATCTCTAGTGTTGTGGTTGATCTCTAGTGTTGTGGTTGAGCTGTAGTGTTGTGGTTGAGCTGTTGTGGTTGAGCTGTAGTGTTGTGGTTGAGCTGTTGTGGTTGAGCTGTTGTGGTTGAGCTGTAGTGTTGTGGTTGAGCTCTAGTGTTGTGGTTGAGCTGTTGTGGTTGAGCTGTAGTGTTGTGGTTGAGCTGTAGTGTTGTGGTTGAGCTCTAGTGTTGTGGTTGAGCTCTAGTGTTGTGGTTGAGCTGTAGTGTTGTGGTTGTGCTGTAGTGTTGTGGTTGAGCTGTAGTGTTGTGGTTGTGCTGTAGTGTTGTGGTTGAGCTGTAGTGTTGTGGTTGAGCTCTAGTGTTGTGGTTGTGCTGTAGTGTTGTAGTTGAGCTGTATTGTTGTGGTTGAGCTGTAGTGTTGTGGTTGAGCTGTAGTGTTGTGGTTGAGCTGTAGTGTTGTGGTTGTGCTGTAGTGTTGTGGTTGAGCTGTAGTGTTGTGGTTGATCTGTAGTGTTGGGGTTGAGCTCGTGTTGTGGTTGAGCTCGTGTTGTGGTTGATCTCTAGTGTTGTGGTTGATCTCTAGTGTTGTGGTTGAGCTCTAGTGTTGTGGTTGAGCTGTAGTGTTGTGGTTAAGCTGTAGTGTTGTGGTTCTGCTCTAGTGTTGTGGCTGAGCTCTCGTCACGTGATCTTTCAGAAATCTGGTCTCGTCCTATACCACGACGAGATAAAAAAAGATGTGGTTGCATGTGGCGGACATGGTGGTTTTTGTGGGTGGGGCAGGAGTTGACCGGGCGCGTGATGGGGGCCCTTAGCTTGTCGTTTCTCTCGAATATTCGACCGGATAACGAGTCAAATCTGGAGATTAGCCCGCGGCTTGTCTGACGGACGTGTTTGTCTGACATGTTTGTATGACGGACGTGCTTGTCCGAGAAACTTGTTTGCTTGTCCTGCTCATCCTAACGGAAAAAATTGTGACAAGGACAGTTTCTAGGTCAGGTGTCACGTGCACTATGTCACGTGTCCGTCGTGAACCCCGATTGGTTGATTTTATTTTCGTAGACAAATTTTCTCGTCATGGAAATCTTAGGATTTTTTTAACTCTTTAAAGTGAAGAGTAAGTTATCTGATCAATATATCGAACGATCAGCGCCGGGTCAAATAATTCCATATCCTGTCAGCGAGTGCCTGTTTAGACAGATCGAACTAGACAATATCGATTATGGCCCACGTTTATTGAATCAAACCGGGGAACAAAATTTAATGTTCAATTAGAGTCGCAGAGGGGCCCATTTTACTTTGATGTGCGCCGCAGTCTGAGAATTATGACGGGTTGGTTTTAGTTTTAAAGTGTACTCTAATCTAAGGGAGATAACGACAAGAGCAATAACTCTTAAGTTATTAGTCCTGCTGGCGGCAATAATTCTTGTTACGTTATATTTATTGAGGTTTGGTTCGCAGGAAATATTGACAAGTATCATTGCTCACAGAGTTAATATTTTTAAAAGTTTTGAATCATAACTTCAAGTACCTAATCCTGACATTTTTAGTTGTTTCTTTTTTTACGACATTGCGTTCTCTGTTGTACATTTTGTTTCGTGTCAGGTTTAGTCATCGGTCGGTTGCGTCGACCTTAGCTGTAGATCAAAAGGGAAACTTTGGTTTGTAAACGGCAATTATTTATATTACTGTGGGATCTTGTGCCGACCTTCATGTGATATAGGGGTCTATATAATGAGTTGTGCGGGCGGGGGGGGGGGGCGGGTCTATATAAAGAGTTGTGCGGGGTCTAAATAAAAAGCTGAGTGTATCCAGCTTTAAATAATACCTGGCATAGTCATGAAAGGGACCTTGGGTAAAGTTTGTACTTGTATAACCCGAGTCTGATAAATTTTTCATACGTTGATTACCGTCGTAATAGCGGCCATCATAAAACCCCCGTCAATTTTTACCATTCACAGCGTTCAGTGGTTGCTTATGATTTCCCCATCCGTACATTGTGTCCGAGTTTGTGTGGCTCAAGTGATTTTAAAAAATCCCAAATTTCGACCGCATCTCTTGAACGTTGATTAAATGGTTTTCATCGACCAAGTTACTCCCTTTTATATCTGTTTCATCGATGTTAATACCATCTTCCCAATCCCTTCCAACATACAACACCGCTATCCCATCCAACACCACCACACCACCCAACACCACCATCTCACCCAACATCACCACCCCACCCAACACCACCACCCCACCCAACACCACCATCCCACTCAACACCACCACCCCACCCAACACCACCACCCCACCCAACACCACCACCCCACCCAACACCACAACCCCAACACCACCACCCCACCCAACACCACAACCCCAACACCACCACCCCACCCAACACCACCACACCACCCAACACCACCACCCCACCCAACACCACCACCCCACCCACCACCACAACTCCACCCAACACCACCACCCCACCCAACACCACC